AAATCGCTAGTAAACGTGAGACAGAAGAATCAACTCGGTGATCGAAACCCGAGCATGGCAACCAGTATTACTCACCTTATTTTAGAATTTTGTTATAAAAGAATAGCGGAACATGTGTATGCACGTGAAGTATGAAAAATCCGTACAAGATTTAATTCGGAAAATCTGAAGGGGAGAGGCCATTTACGAGACAAAAACATAGCGGATAATATGATAATGAAGCTTAAGTCAGAAAGGTCTGTTTGGTGGACTAAATTAAATTCTGTTATTCACAACGATATGTATGCAAATGTCGTAAAAGGAACATTAATCTACAGAAACAATAGGGCTGATGTTTAATGTATTAGTAGAATAACAATATACATATCTTGTGCCCTCGGCCGGGTCTATTTGAGCCATAACAATTCAGGCCTAATACCGTGGTTCAGACTCTAAGAAGCCTAACTGATCCCTAACCTGAGAAGGAAACACAAACTTGAAATCCCGGCGGGAATCCCCCCTCCCCTTCTCCTATTAAATGAAGCAATGCAATTCGCCGAGTTGAAAGATATGATCTTCCAGAATGACCTAGCTTATTTCTAATGCTCAAGGAATTAAAGTTTCTATGCGACGCAGCAAATGCACAGCTATGATTCAATACTGAACGAGATGACACTGAAACATGGCATGCTTGGATTTGCATAACTTACAGTGTCAGATATCCGAGTACAACAGTTGCATAACATCATGGGCATATCGCCTGTTTAAAACTAAACTACGGAACTGTACATTATTATAAGACTCTCGGGTGAAACCGGGGTAGGTATACTTGCTGTATGTAATATGGCTACTTACATACAAAATTTATGTTCCAAAATAATGATCTAATCGTATGACAGTTCCAAAACAGTAGGCCTAATATACAGATGTCCTATAAGACTGAAACTATAAATATAGTCCACGCCTGTTCTTTGTCACAGATGTGAGCGATGGCACTGCAGAAACGTCCTAAACATGTCGAATATCGAGGGTGAACCTGCACAACAGCATGCTTTTGGTGAACTTATTTTAAACAGACTATTCTTTCATGTGACCTGTTTTGTAAAGATAGTTAATTCAATTAAATCTCTCGTTACGATTAAATAATTTTGTGTCTCACGATGTTTAACTATTCAAGAAATCTCTAATTATATAACTCGAAGGTTCGTCACCTTTACCACAAATTCTATCACATTTTAATTCAGTTCCTGTCCCCTAAACTGATGTCTCTTCCTAACCTTCAATTTGAGCTTATGTAAAGTGGAGTGGTTGTCATACTGGACTCGTATGTATCAAAATTAAATTGGACCGACAACGTTTATTGTAGATCCAGATATCAAATGTTATTAAAATCCGTTCCCAGCTTGAGGCCTCCCATTTCATGCACTTCTTGCAAAGAACACAAAAACATGTCTACAAATAGCTTAACATATCACTCCTGAGTCATATGTTCACTCGTAATATCTTGCAGATGAGCTGCAGTCAAGACAAAGAATGTTATCAGCTTTGCCTCACTTACATGTTTATCATATTATATTAATACTCTTGTAACATAGCACATAGTACTCTTCCAAGGAAGTGGGTTGCATATATGTTATCACAACCGTTGACAGGAATATATGAGATAAGGTTATCTGTTTCTCGTGGAACTAGCCTACCTACCTCAGACTGACCTTGCACCATAACCCGTTCACACACACAATACGGGACGAAACTTTGGTCAGTGAGCATGCGAGTAAACCAACAGTGCAGCATTCAAGAGTAGCAAGATTCAGTAAGTGTAAATATCTTTAAAGTTTCCAGTAACGTAATTCTTAATTCCTATAACATCGTCGACAATCTGAAAAATCACACGGATCCATCTGATTCAAATGTGTGTACAATTTAGCATTAGTATCTATTAGTTTCGACCACTTAAACAGTACTACCTGAAGATTGATTACCTATTAAGGGCGAAACATGTAGTGGATTTCAATAACCATTGATACTATATCCATAAAACTTGTGTAGACGGGCTGCCAACCAGACGATCTGAAAAATTGTTGCTTCAGTGATATAAAGCCCTGCTTTGTTTAACATTCTATATTTATTCAACTTTTGTTTCGCAAAGTTTTACGCTACTGACTCCTTTCCCTCCAGTTTTCCATAATCATCATTTAGGAATGTGACACTCTGAAACTGTTAGTCATCAGATCAGTTTTGCCTTGTTTCTGAAAAATATAAATGATATAAGTGTTACAAGAGTTTAATAAATAGTATTAGTTCTATTTGAATAGGAATTAGTATCTGCAGAAACTTTTATCCTCGCATAAACAAGGAACAGCCCATAAGTAGGTTCAAAACTTAACTCAAACTTCGTACAACGCTACTCATCATGTTCATACAAATACCTTACAATTACGTAACGCGTTTTAAAAAAGTATCGCTTTGTGTTTTATGTAATGTTTTTCTTCCGGTAATCATACGTAAGAATAAAATAAGTGTATTTGGGAGTTGAATCCACGACCTTATATTTATAACACAATTGTTTAGATGGTTCAAAATATAAGTAACATCTTCCCTCAAGGTCCTGAGACCAACACAGGAAATTTAATAGAGCGTAATAAAACATTTTGAATTATTATTTCATTCTTCACATAATACTAGTTAGCAATGAAAATGTTCACTTTTAAGTTCCATCCTTTTTTTTTTCGAAAACAACGTATTTCACTTTTTCTTTGCAGATAACAAGAATTCCATCCTTGAAGTAGATGTAACTAACGAGTCACTGTAATAATATTAATGTACGATTCTATCAAATGACCTGAAGACGAAATTATAATTGTAAAAGTAACACGAAGACTTACAGAAAAATTGATATTACGAGAATTTTCATTAGTTCTTCAAGCGACCGTATGAATACGAGAGTGTTTCACCAGTTATTACGTTTTAGTTGAGTCTAATTAATTATTCCTATAACTTTACTTGGTGATACGAGAGTGGGGTTTATCTACAGAGAAGTCAGAATGTTTCATCAGATGGGAATATTATCAAAAGGCACCTTCTATAAAATATCGACCAATGATATACGTGATATTATGTATCTGAAGCCATTGTTAATAATGTTACGTGTGGTTATTTCGTTTGTTTCTGGTTGCTAAGCAACCACAGTGAAATAAAACGCCAGAGCTTGCAAGAAGCCCAACAAGACCTGGTTTCCATATCGGGGCTTCAAGCACCGTGCTTTGTTTCTGGCGACGCGGTTGAACTCACTGGGACAGAGGAGTGAGAGATTTTTGTGTTACGTGCAATGAGAAACGACGTGGTAAAATTGAAATATTAATACATTCAAATTCCGTAAAGATAATTATCACTTCTAAGAAAATTAAATTTGTATATTAAATATGGATTTTTGTTATTCCAGGATTCCATCAATGTAGGTTGTTTCCACGTTCACATTAGAAATAAATAACATTGTCTTCGGAGTTTCCAAATACCTGAAATAACCTATTTATTTATTTCTGCGAGAATATGGGTGTTATTTTAAAAGAGAAAAACAATATTTGTTAGCACGTTTCTAGTACGTATTAAATGAGTATTGGTTATTTTACGAAGAGATGAATTTATTGCTATACGAACAAAGTCAGAAAAGGAAAAACTTAGGAATTAATAACTGAATTTACTACGTACTGGAGACATTAAAGTTTGTGTTCACATTAATTTCAAACATCTTGCTTAGATATGAAGAATGTATTTTTACGCATCGATAAGAGAGATAAGAACTATGAATGTTTTGGTTGGTGGTTGCCGGATCTTCTTTCTGATGCAGAAAGACCATCTGGAATTTCAGAACCTAATGGCAACAAGACAGATAAAATTGATAATGATGGGCTTACACATCTCCCAGAGCCACAACTGACCGGCGAAGAAGATTTAGCGTCAGGTAATCAATCGCACATGATAGAAGCGAATGAAAATACATTAGGTCTTGATAGCAACACAACTGCCAACAAAAAATGTGCAAAAATAGGAATTGCTAAAAACGGAACAAAATGTATTACTCCATCGAAAGCAACTTCGATGAACAAAACACCTGATGACTCTACACTCTCAAATACACAGGTGGCAGCACTGATTAGTTCACCAAATCACAAACAACCAGAGAGAATATTATACCAGAGTCCAAAATTTGAACACCAATTTAAAACATCTAGACGTGCCTACGAAAGTTCAGGGTATCTATCGGGTACAAGAACAAGGCTGCAAGATGGTGATCGTAAAGTGTTGTGTCCTCTTGTGGAATTACAATTCACGATCGAACATGACACAGATCGGCAACTGGAGGTACCGCGAGAGAAGTTCCTGCAGGCTGTCGGTGGACTAGACTCCAAGATCAGAACTTTGCAAGCAGACAACAGACAGTTGCACACGGACCTCAACGCACTGCTACAAGACTTTCAGGTAAGTGGAATGCACAAACAAAACGGGGAAAAAATCCGTTTCTCTGTCGTGGGACGATGAAAACGTGCTCAAGAGCTACATTAATTAAAGCGAGAGGCGTTCGATTGAAATTACTTATTAAATTGAAATAACTATATCTAAGGCTAAGTAAACTATTTTAACAGAATATTAAGTCAGTTCCGCTCCATTCCTTATTTCGTTGGTTCTCAGCCGGTATGATGCGACACACTAATGTGCCGTGAGGCTTTGAATATATGATTTTTTAAATTTAAATACGCAAATTAAAAATTAAATAACTGTTAATACAATATTACTATTCGTAACTGAGTCTTCTCCAGTAGTTAGTTAAACATAATGATCTGTTTTGCGATAATTATATATTTAAATGTAACAAATATCACAATTTATGAATAGATATACTCTTCTATGATATAATTTTGGTGTGCCGCAAACACCAAAATTTTGAAGAACCACTGCCTTACGTAATTTAAAATGTGTGTCCATATTTAAACGCGTACGAGTTCAAAAACCGAAAACTAAGATTCTGTCTACCAACTCAACTTTATGAGTGATTTTTATGATAATTAAAGATCTCCGTGGTTATATAACGAAACTCGTAAATTCTTAGTTCAAAGATGAGAAGTATGATACAAGCTAAAGGAACACGGGTATGATTTGCACATTACCAATCTTGCAACACTTCAGCGGTACCTATAGCTTCACTGTGTGTAAAAGTGAAAGTTATTAAATGATAGGTACAGCTTTTCAAATTGTGATCATTGCAGTACTCCACTAAAATTAATGAACTCGGTCATGAAAACGTCTGTCGTATTTTTAGTGCCCTAGCATCAAGTCATTTTCAGCAGGTAATTAATTTGCAAGGCAGTATGAGTGGACAGATTTAATTCGAGAATTTTGTAATTTATTTACTGCTGGGCAGATTTACTTTGTCAATACCAGTCAATTTAAAGGTTTGAATACTAGTAATTGAATTAGCCACATGACATAATTACGCAATTTAATCAAGACAGAGGGAAATCTACGTGCTAATGACTTCCCACTTGACTGACCGACTCTGTTACGACATCACATTACTATAGCGTAATAATCGAATAAGGTGCTAAGTACCTTAATTAATTTTGATTAATTAAAACTTTAATTAAATTATGTTCAACTTATAAGCGATTATTTATTAAATAACAACGCATTTAAACTGTATTTCAAAACATGGGATAGCCGCTTTTCATTAGACGTATCGTGGCTGCTGATTGGCTGATGAATTTTTAGTGTCGTCAGTGACTGACACGGGTACTACAGTACGTCATGACAAACATAATAATTTTTCTTCTTCTAGTAATATGATAGGGAGTAAATATTATGAAACTGGAATATTGATAGCGGCATTGATAAGCAAAATAAACATACATTAACGAAGAAATTAAGTAACATACAGACGTGTTGCTTTGTGAATATTTATTTTGTAGAATTAACAGGTTGCGGGAAATTTTGGCATATATCGTAATGCATGTATTGAAAATTTTATAATAAAGTAACAAAGTTGAAGACCCTCTGTCTAAAACTAAGTTGTTCTCTTAACAATCATTTTCCGATAAAAAAATTACTCAGTAGAGACAAAATAAAACAACGTTTAAAAATTATTTGTCAATCTCAATGATAATAATGGAAAATACGTTGGATTGAAACTAGCTCAAGGTTCTCTTGTTAATAAGAAGATAAGTGGGTAATAGTCCATTAATCAATCTTAAATACGTCGAAAATGTTCGCTTATGTTGTCACATTATCTGTAATCTACTGCTACGCTTTCGTGGATTCTACTTATAATAACGATTGCGTAGTAGGCCTAGAAACAGAATGATGCATAATTAGTCACCCATTTTGATATAACTGGATTTTTTAATTGATTAGTTTCAATTTTTTATATTTTTCTTTCAGAAATAATGAAGAGACTTGGAAAATTATCATGAACCGGTATATAAGCCCAGCAGCGTATAGCAATTGTTGAAATGTTATCTCACGATTTTCATAAATAATTGCTCAATTTCATTGACACACAGAATTTCACAGAAATGCTAACATTCCAACGACTGCGCGGCTGAAGCGAATCATGACGCATGACTTTCGTCTTTTTCTTTGTAAGATTCAGCCGGTGCAAGAATTACAGCCAATAGATCATGAAATATGCCTAGAATACTCCAGCGCTTTTTCTACGGGTAATTAATTATGCGCCATTCTGTATAATCAATTCGTGTTTTATATGCATTTCAGCTAGGAACATTCAGAAACTTAAATTTAACGTCATATAATTGTGTATGCAAATTCAAGTTAAAAAGCCTTTGAACTGTTAAATTTTTCATATTTAAGTATAATTTTTGCTTGTGGCAGTTCCACAAAAATCGGGTCTTTCTTTTTATCTGCCATCCATTTTCAACCGTACCATAATCAGAAATGAAAAATAAATACGCCATATAATACGCTCAGCCGAAGACTGTTATGACCGAGTGGCAGATTTAAGCAAAGGTCCAAATAATCTGCAAAGAATGCCAGGTTATTGTAACTAACCACTGGGCCTACAAATCTAACATGCAATTGATTTTACTTGCGTTGCAGTCGAAGGAAATTGAAGTAACTCAGCTGACTGGGGAGGCACGACAGCTGAGAGATGATCTTGAAGATATCAGATATTTGGATGATCTCATATTCTTGCTGCAGGGTAAATTGGATCGCATTACCTTACGTAAATGGCCGTTCCTCGTTGCGCACATTCTCCCCGCCACGGGTTCCACACAAGAACTGAACTTGCTTGTGTAATAACAATCTTCAAAAGTAGCACATCTGTCCGTTTAAAACACGGCAAAAATATATGTTCATATCGTGACGCCACTGTTTAATTATTTTGTTCACTCTTGACACAAATAAACGAAGGTAGATCATGTTTGCCCGGACATTCATTCCAAACTGTGTATGTACAGTACCATCGACCGTTCTAAGTCAGCCCCGTCAACATCCGACATGCCCGTTCCCGAAGGTCACGTCTTTTATCCTGCCTGGCCCCACACTACTCTTAAATACAAAGCTTTAATATTTTCAATTTATCCTTTAGAATACGTACCAATGTTCCGACATTTCTACAGTGAAGTAACATATCCAAATTTCATAACAAGTCGACATTTATTGTGTCATTACACATTAAATAGCACACAACTTTCAAACCACGAGTGAAATGTAGACCAAGCAGACGGACGACTGGATTAACAAATTAAAGTTTCCCATTCGCAAGTCAGTCTGCCAGAAACCGATGCTGCCAATAGCAAAAGAAATGTCCCAATTGTACTAATTAGCAATTCGTGGATAGTACTTGTGCACTCATTTTATTAGAATTCGTTTCGATAATTCTTCTGAATGTAACGCAATCGAATTCATCAGTGACAAAAATTAAATAATCAAAACCATAAAGAAACGACACAACTATCGATAAATCAGTACCTTATACCTCCACAAGAAAATGGCTTCGTCTTTAAAAACCTGTTACTATTACATTAAAACACTGGCATTGTGAAATACAACGAAAAATATCATAGTAATTTGTCTCTACAAATGCCAGACATGATTCGTTCTTCGAACAATCTACCATTACCTGTTGACGACCACGTCGCGGGTTTCGGGGGACAGCTTCAGTACCCGCGTTTTTGTGAAATATGTAAAACAAAAGTAACGTATTGGGGACATGATCACAGCAGCGGTATAACGAAGCACGGTATTTCGGGGTTCCACTGTATAACATTGTAACGTTGAATAACGTTTATAAAATCACGGTACACTCGACGGAAACTGTAAGATGTAAGGTAAACGCCAATAACTCGAGACCTATGTAAGATAGAGAATATAAACCTATATGTAAATTAAAGAGTAAATAAAGGTTTTTTCTACATGATGTTTACTTTATTCTATAATGCATATTTTACACATTGTTGAAATAATTACCCATAACATGTAATAACTATACCCTCGTTCCTTAACTTCAACCGCTTGCTACGTCCAGATGGATGACATCCGAATGGATGACGTCCAAACGGATGTCGTCCAAAGAGGTACTACATTCACGGTCGCGTCACGCCAGTCGCGGTTTGTTGTCCCTCTGTGAAGTGCGTGGTGTTTGCGATGGACGAAGAATTGGTACTAGCTACGGCAGTATGCCTGTATATTAAAAGGAAAAAACCAAAACGAAAGTGGTCAAAGCAATGGCTCTTAAATAGAAGCAATTTAAGTCCTTATGCTCCTTTCTGAAGCAACTTCTAAGGGAATTTTCTTTGTTGGCGGTAGGATCTTTGGTTTTAAATAAAACCACCAATTCTTCCATTGCTAAGCTTCTTTTAGCTTTATCATGATAGTCTTCATTACTTATCTGCCACAAACATGGCAACTCTCTATATTTCTCAATCACCTCAATAACAAACTCACGACCCGACATTATACAAGTTTGGACTTCACTGGACGAAGGCTCGTGGCAGACTGGCATGAGAATGGACCACGTTTCCGCCACTCACGAACCGATTTGGAGTGGCTCGATCGCCGATTCCCCCATTCACGATACGATGGCGCGATGGAGTGATCGGATGGATTATGGCTCGACAGAATATCCAAACGAGCCCACCACGCCACGCCAATGGACTTCAGTTTCCGCATTCACGGTGAAAGAGTAAAGCGGCCGGATTCCGAGATCAAATATTTTGATATTTTCGCGCAGGTCGCTGCGCTGGCCAGTTAGGCGCATGCGCAGATAAGCTCTGACCGTGCAGTACACTGAAGTTGCATGCGGAGGAAGGCAGTGTGTTTCTCTCACGCAGGACACAACAAGCGATTCCCTTATGTCATATGACACCCCATGCTGCTTATCCAGCTCGCTTCTTATCGCTTACCTAGGACATTGCCTAAGAGTTAGATCTGGACATATTGCAAGTGAAATACGTAAATAAACACGAGCTTTTCAAATTTGCAAAACAGATTTCAGCTAACTCTTGCAGTTTAATAGTTTGGGCCATTTGTTTGGTAAAAAAGAACGGTTCTGGTGTGTCGAGTACATGACACAACATATACATATGCTGTCGGCAGATGACGTCACGTATGGATAAGTTGTAAATGTATACATGAATGTGTAAATAAGATTTTATTTCAGTACAAATATACTATTACGGTTAAACGTTAGTCAACGTTAACTAAATAACCGTGGTTCCACTGTCAATTTTTTTACTTAGAATTGATCCAAAAATCAACTGATGAAGTCTCATTTCCTCTCAGGGCACCTGTATAGTGGTCAACCAAATATCAGTAAAGACCAACATCACTGGTTCTACTCAAAGTGTCAATTTTAATGAGAAAAATTAACCTTGTTCCCACAGTACCTTAAGTTATACTGTAAAATTCTGCTAAATCCTGAGGTTATAAAATGTCAAATTAAATATAGCAATGATTATAAATCATATACTGAGAGAGATTTCAAAGGGAGTGGCCATGCACATGATTAAAAATCGAGCCAGGAAGGTCTAGAGTGATGCCTGGCACTTGTTTCAAAGGTGTTGTCAAACACAAGCAGCATGGATGCCCCATCCTGCAACTTACAAAGCACTTGAACCAAATATAAAGTCAGATACAACTTAAAGGTATTTAATTTCTAACCTATCTTCTTGGGGCATAAAGAAAATTTCTTGAGGTATTCATCTTTCAATTCTGCACTCAGAAATGTAACGTTGTCATTAAATAACAAAGAGAATGACCTCATATTATGATTAATGCTAATTTCTTTAAACTTGGAAATGTGTACCATACTACCCCAGCACTTCTTTTAGAACTACACCGCCAATCGTTTTAAAATACTGTTCTAGCATTCTCCAGGAAAACTGAATAAAAACAAGAACATCACCACTCATCCACACAAAGATTTCAGCCAATGCGAGTCAGGCCATCGATTTATAAATTATCCTATAATTTTTGTCTTCACCTTATCCTACACTTAATATTTTAGTTTTACTTTTCCTGGCACAATGCGCAGCAATTTCTTTCCAGCACCCTGAACTTTACACTTTATAATGGCTGCTGTATGTAAATCTTCAGCCTTTACCTCAACATTCAACATGATTCCCAGTAATTTGTTCAGGCAGTAGATAGGCAAGCAGGCATTAGTAACACAAATCCATTCAACCACCCGACATGGCTGGTAGCCCGAGAAGGATTCATTAAAATCATAAGAACATTTAATTGTTGATTCTGGTCCGAGTTGTGAAGCTGTGTAATTTTGCAGTGACTTACCGTTTCACTGAAAGTATCACTTCAATCTTCAAAGTAGGACATCCTCTCTGCCATGAGAACCTGAAATGTCAGAACATTAAATGTTCATACAATTATTTATTTATAAATAAAGACAGACTGAATCTCATATTGTACATTACCCTCTCTCTTTTTTTGTTTTATTTCCTTTTTGAAGAGCACTTTTTAACCATTTCCATTCCAAGGTACCAACTGGTACATAACATTTCATACTTCATAATTCTTTATTTTGTAACAATTTCTTCCACAGAAACTGAAAGTCTTAAGTCTTCCCTTATTAGCACCATTTTTTAAATATCTCACACAAATTCAAAAATGTAAATGTTTAAATGTTTTGCACAAGCATTACTTTTCATATTTATGAAACAATTATAAAATCTCACAAAAGAATAAAAACATTAATCTGTACATAGTAAAACAGATAGAATCCTAACATACGAGCAGTAAAGCAATTTTTTGAAAGCTGCCCATTTCTTTATACTCAAATGATGTCATCCTACATCAATCTCACAAACACAGTAATAATATACAAAGTATCTTTAAACATTCCAATATTTCTAAACATCTTGCATATTTTAAATTAGTTTTCAAGGTTCACTTTCAATCTTTAAAACTGGAAGAGCTGGTAACAATTCAATAATTAATATTATTATTATATTAATTTTTAAAAATGTTTGTAAGTCTTACAACAAATTAACTATATTAAAGACTCAACACAGGAACATGCGCACCTGAAGTGATGTTTCTGCACAAGAAAAATAAATATTGTAATCCAATTTCAAAATTTGATGAAACAGACACAATATATATCTTTAACAGCATCAAGATTCTATACACTCTTCCGCCACTGATCAGGTATCGATAGGACGTGGCATTTCCCCGTTTCACCATTAGACACTATCAGAACATGCACTAATATTGTTTCACATTGACATCATTTGTGAAAATATTAAAAAATTGTTTTGCTGCCTAGTCATTTTAAAATAATTATAACAACACCTCGTAACAAAGGAATATAAGAACAACCGTAATACATATATCATGAACTCATTTACAGACTTATGTTTGCATCTTTGAGAAACTTACACTACTATAAAAATTACTTTCACGATGAACACCTCAAAATATGATCTTGCGTCTTTGAAGTGATTACAACTGAAGAATTTTAAGCGATAAACTAATATTCACAGCATTTTTATCTTAGGATAATAACTGAAAGAAAAGTTGGACATCCTGTTTTACTGCAGATACGTTACCAGCAAATGTATCAAACAATGCTATTTTCCCACCAAATACAAATATTCTCATCACAGCTCTTTCTTTTAAATTCACAAATTACTATTATATAAGATGAAATTATTTCTAGCTCTGAAAAAGGAACTTCAGATTTTATGGATTTTAACAAACATTTTCAATCGCAACCAACACCCTAAAAAATGTTAACAATTTCAAAATGTACCTAGAAAAACTGAACATTCTGTTGGAAATGATGATGATAATGATGAACCATTAAATAATAAATATGCAAGGAAGGTGTCACCTGATGGTATAATTAACATCCAACCACAGAGCAATGAGAATAAAATTATATGTACATTAGAAGGAGAAATGTTTTATGTTATACAGTACTTAGAATTGACATAATCGTGCAAAATAATGAAAAGAAATACATTTTTCTTTGTATTTATCACCTTCGCACAGAGCTATGTTTAGGTAGCATGAACGAGACGTTTCATTAGCAAAATTCAACGGCCATTTCTTATCCAAGTCTCTCTTGATTCACTACTAGATGATTCTAGCAGTCAAATCAGGATTGAGTTGAACCTGTGCTGAAGCAGTACAAATGCATACTTCAAAGACTAGGAAACCTCCGAAAAGGAGTCGACAAACACCCACAACTGGGTTGTAGGGCCAAGGAAGCAGAGGAAGTATTCTAAAACCAACACACCCAATGCAAACAATTTCCCATCAAGTTTGCTGATTTATACTGTACACTATGAGTGTTGTTTGTAATTTCAACTTTTGAGCTCCTTGATGATTACAGAATTTACAGTCACTTAAATATAACAAATTTGGTTAGTCTCTTTTCATGTTACACAAGACAGAATTTGATACCTTAAATTTCCGAGATCACATTTTAAAAAATAATAATATGCTTTTAATTCCGAGTGCAAGAAGCAGGAGGCATCATTTACGACCTCGCCTCCACATAATGCACCTTCTTCTAACACAATCAGCTCTGACAATTGATTCATCATAATATAACAATTATGGTGTGTAGGAAATGCCATAGCCCATTTCAATTGACAATATGCAGTAGTATATGCATTATATCTTGCATGGAAGAAATACCATTATCAAAATTCAGATTAAATTACTTTTAAGATTAGTATTTAATCGTGGATTTGAATTATTTACTGTTCTAACAGTCATACGTAAGCAGTAAAGTTGAGTCAGCTCCAAACAAATCGCTCTGAAGTGTACAATACTGTCTAACGCAACAGAATACATTTCATTTATCTCAACTGAAAACAGAGAAGAATTACATAGAATCTTGCTATCCTTCCAGACCTTATCCTTTTGAAACTCAATCCAGCAGTACAACGTAACAAGCCTTACTTTGTGAATTCGCTCAGAAACTACAAAACAGCGCAACGAGCAGTATGAGACCAGTCCAGCACAGCAACCACTAGAAACCATGGTCTGGTGGTAATGTGGATTCCCATGCCTCGTAGCCTCATGCTACCTCCTGCCGCATCCCTGCAGGATTACCAGGGGTGCGTGCGGGAGTCCTTGTCTCCGCATACAATCCTGCTCCTCTTAACAAGTCCGTGTGATGCTGTCGAAACAGAGGATCATGCGGAGAAGGCATAGGAGGAAGCATACATCCTAGGACAGGTGCAGGATCACACAAGCCAGAGCCACCAGGCCGTTCCTGTTGTCCTGAGGGCGGTTGCTGTTGCTGTTGCTGCTGAAGATCTTCGTGGCGAGGAATCCGTAAAGCTTGTCCATTCTGACACACTGGTGGAAGAACCATGACATGCGGACCAGTTGACACATGAGCCATCTGTTGTGTAGGCAGCACCAAACCAAGACCTGGACTGTGAATGCTTGTGGCCTGTGACACTGTGGGAGGGGGACTGTGGAGATCTGGCTGTGATATAGATGAGGGAACAGAGGGCGGAGTTCGAGGAGTGTGAGGAGCAGAAATATCTTGTCCTGACTGCCCCATTTGTTGAGACTGTTGCTGCTGTTGTTGTTGTTGTTGCTGCTGCTGCTGCTGCATACTGCCTTTGCGTGATCGCACACGGACAGTTGACCTCCCTATACCAAAGTGAAGCAGTTCTAAGTGTCGACGCAAGTTTCGAGACTGGCGTAGCGTGGCACCACACAGAGGACAAGTAGCAGGTTGGTCAGATACACTATTCTTCTTCACAGCTGCTGCAAACCAGAATCATAAAATGCTGTAGTTTTCCTTCCACCTTGTAAAATATATCGAAACCAACAAGTACCTATACTTTGATCAGTGTGAAAAGCATTAACCATAAACATCAGGTATGATATTGCAGTGTAAAGGTAAAACAGTACTTCTGCAATTATCTTACGCATCTATATTTAAAAAAGACAAAATCAATGTTATAACATAAACAAAGAAGAACTGCTGTGACAAACACTGATGAATGCGGAAAAATCCAAATATTATTATGCTATGGTGATTATGCGTAAGAGTTCAGCATGCACTGGGCACAAATGTGAAGACAAGATAGATGATTAACTGCAAAATGAAGAGTTTCATATTCTGTACTCTTCACCAAATATTATTAGAATGACCAAATCAAGGAATGAGATACGTAGGGCATGTAACCCCCATAAGGGATATGAGAAAAACACAACATTTTGATTGGAAAGGAAGAGACACCATGATGACCTAGGTGTCAATAGATGGATAATATTAAAAGCTACATTTTAAAGAAATTGGGTGGCACGATGTAAATTATATTGATATGGCTGACAAAAGGGATTGCTGGTAAGCTCTTGTGAACATAATACTGAAACTTCTGGTTGCACAAAAGGCCAGGAATATTTTGACTAACTGAGCAAATATCACCTTCTCAAAGAAGACTTTCTCCATGGAGTTAGTTTGGTTAGGCAGTTCTTTATGTGCCATGCAACACAAAATGACAAATCACATGAAGAAGGGAGAAGAGCCAACTCCAGAAATGTCATTATATCAAATACACCTCAAACAACATACTTTGTCCAACATAATACTGAGATCACCACCTAGTACAGAGGTTCCTAAACTGTGGTCTGCAGACCACCTGAAGTCCACGAGCTTCATTCAGATGGCACATAAAACAAAATTAATAAAAATCACAAACAAGCAATACAGATGTGCCACGATACTTGAATAATATGAAGTGCAGTACCAGTGACAGATGTTAAATAACAGGCAGAAAAATCATTAAGTGGTCCACCAAGATCTTCAGCAATTTCCAACTGGTACAGAACAGAAGAGTTCAGGAACTACCAATCTAGAGGAAATAAAGTCAGCCTTCATACAGGTAAACAATTCAGTACATAAACAAAGCTAAGAAATAATTTAACAGCACAATCAATCAAATAAGACACAATCAGAAGTGAGATCTGAAAGATTTGAGCTCAGTTTCAAGCAATTTCTTCTGTTATACATAATTATCCAAAAGCCATGCTAAAAAAAAAGAATTAATAAAATATTTACCAGTTTCTTCTCCAGTTTGGTTGTGGCTTTCTGTGTCTTCAGTCTTGCGTGGCACATCAGGAATATTGAGGACATCTTGTTCTGATGACATTGCAACCCCTCCACCAGCACCTCCAGGATTCTGCTGTTCCATGGGCCTGTTTTCTGTATCTGCTGCCATATTTTCCTGACGTGCCCACTTGCTACCTGACCCTATTCATACAAATGTTAAAATCTCAAAATTCCTACAAAATACTACTGAACATTCTAAGAGCGCCATATTTTGTCCACCAAAACTACTGGCATCAAAGCGCGACTGGAAGTAAACTGTTTTTTTTATGTTTGGGTACATTTTGATTTATTAATATATTAAAGTGCCATACAGTGCAAAATTCGGTAGTAGCTTGAGGGTAAAAGAAAATAAAAAGTTGTGGAATATATACATATATGAACTTCATAACTTAAGTAACAGTACCTTCATATACAGTATTCGTCTTCACTATAACCTCGTTTATGGAGCAAAATACAAACCAATTTTTGTGTAAAATATTTGCAATCCTCGTCTACTGTCCAAGTACTCTCACTTGTTCCTTACTAACTTCATCAGATGCATTTACAGTTCTCATCCAATACAAGCATTCTAACCTGATGAATTCCTTCGCTTGGTGCGCTTCCTCCTACGTATCGGCAGGAATGAATTTATTACATCTCTTGTTAGAGCCTCATGAGCAGCTGGCACTGTGTTAATATCTTCTGCTTTCTGTAAAATGTAAAAAATAACCATATAATTCATCAACAAAATTAATACTTAAAGAGATGAATACTGACTGATAGATTTTTTATTTATTTAACAATGTTTTTCACCTGCTCAGGTTATATAGCATTGACTGGTATGGTGTCTGAATGATAAATTGGAAATGACTTGGAAAATATCAGATATGGTTTTCCTGCAGGTACTAATCCCAGGAAGAACTAAGAAAAACTGAATATATAAAAAATGGGCTTTATAAAGCCCTTTTGAGCTTAAAATCTAAAACAAAACAATATTTCAAAATTTTGTAAAATGGAAGAGGTTCTGAAACATTTCAATTGGTGAACCTCTTCTCGGTTCAAAATCCAAGAATGAAATAAAACTCAAAAATTATAGTAAACTATAAGAAAAGTTCTCAAAATTACTTGTTTCTTTCTATAAACTATGTACACAGCCAAGTTATAGCGGATCTGTACTGGTCGGATTGGTCAATTATTTATTTCCAAGCATAAAAATACAAATGTAACATACAAGATTTGAAACTTTCTCAGAAATTAAATGCAATAAAGTCTGCTCATGTCTCTGCCTACATCAAGGCTTATGGCAACCCTGATGATAAAGGCAGACACTTCAGAAAATGGACTGTAACCCTGACTGCCAGGCAAGATTTCATTGCAATCTATGAGTAACACAATTTAATACAATAGACATTCACCGCTGTAGCAACAATTACCATTTAAAATACAAATTATATGATAATACAAAAATGATATCAAAGTAAACCATCTATTCATACAGCCTGAAGTTTGAAGCTGAAAAGGTTTCAGTGACAGATTCCTATTCACCATTCATTTCCATATATGCCTTACTAGTAAAACATCCTAGAATTTGTTTAGTTAGGCAAAAGAGAACAGATTTATCACACCAGAGAGTATAAACTCATTCTACATTCATTTAAAATTAAAACAACACAAGTTCTACCATTATTTGTTATGGATACTATAGATAAAAGAGATGAAGCAGATTCTTACCTACAGACGTTACAGTAGCGGTCTGCATGTTCCTCTCATTTTATGATCTACTAAATTAAAAAAAAAAAAACACACACACACAAACTTTTCGTCAGTCCTACCAAATGTCAGGATAGTACCTTAAAACAGGTCGTGACTACTTCCTTCCATAGTCTTTCCATTTCCTTACTCATTATTAATCTTCCCCTCTTTCAAAGCCTTCATGGCTAAGAACATCATTTTACAAACCAAAAATAAACAAAACAAAATTTGGAGATTGTAAGATTTGAGGTTTTCACAGCGGTGAGTATAAAGATTTCTGTCTTCTGGGTTATTGCACTGTGTAGTCTGGTCGATGTTTACCAACGTTTCAGAAGTCATACTGCCTCCGTCATCAGGGCTGATGACGGAGGCAGTATGACCTCTGAAACGTTGGTTAACATGACCAGACTACACAGCGCAACAACCCAGAAGACAGAAACCTTCCAAATTTGGAGAATTCATGGCTACCATTCAAATCCTTATGCAGAGAAGAATTTAAAACTTAGTTCACCCGTGTTATTAGACGAACAAGGTCTGGTAAGATCTGGTCATAGAGTTCCCAGAATGAGGCTGCTACACGAGAATTGTTTCACTCACCAGGTAGTTAATTTGATCCCCTTCAAAGCAGTACACTTCTGCACCAAGACAATTATTCCAATACTCCTGCCACTTTTGAAAGCACTGCATGAAGTCATTCTTTTTTACTGAATGAGGTTAGCTGCATCATCACATTTTTATAGAGTCAAAGTCTTCAAATCTCCATCCATTTAGGAAATTTTTGTTCTGGGAAATAGAAACAATTGCTCAGAGCCAGATTCTGGTTATGGCATTCATGCAATGTTACTTTTAGTAAAAATACTGTTGTAAATTCATGATGCTGCAGACAAACCTGGCAGAAACATGCCTCATCCCAAACGTATGATCAACAGCTGAGGGATATGAACCATAAGATACTTCCGTGTCTTCTGTAACTACTCTAACAATCAGATGCCCGTGTTTTCTGATCAAATCACACACGTCTGCCATAGAAATTGGGTTGCACAATGTTAGAGTCACCTTGAGCAAGGAGATGATTTCCATTCCTTCTTCAATTTTTTAAAACACTCAAATATTATCACAGACGATAAAGGTTCACTACCAAATTGTTTTATGAATGCTGATCCTGATTATTACATCTCTACTTGGTTCAGTTTCTTCAACTAAGTAAAAATAAAACTCCATTTGACTTCTTCGAGGATATTCTGCAGTTTTGGAAAGTGCACAATCTGTCATTTTAAGATTTGAGGTTTTCACAGTGGTGAGTATGAAGATTTCTGTCTTCTGGGTTGTTGTGCTGGGTAGTCTGGTCGATGTTAACCAACGTTTCAGAGGTCATACTGCCTCCATCATCAGGGCAATGATGACGGAGGCAGTATGACCTCTGAAACGTTGGTTAACATCGACCAGACTACAGCACAACAACCCAGAAGACAGAAATCTTCAATCTGTCATTTGTTCATAACACATATTCTGAGAACTTTATGATTGGGCATCGTGTACATATATTTTAAATGGATCTCACGTGATCATTTATACATACCACATGTGTATATATATAATATATGCAAGTGATTTTGGTTATATAAATATTCTCCAAAATCTTTTCTAGCAATGAAGAGAGATTAACATATAACTTGTGTCCATGCTTACCTCACCACTAATTGTGCCTGGAGCCAGGCCTTGGATGTTCAGACAGTGAGCGGCCTGTAGAAGTGATGGCAGTTGGTTCGGATCCACACTAACCTCACCACGATACACAAACTCAAGCAAAGCCTCCAAATCAGATGCTGTAACTCCTGCTAGCATCACCACAGGATGTTGACAAGGAGTGCTCTACAGAAATCAAGCAATGTGACCTTCTCACTTGTGTCTACTGCCATATTCCAAAATTCAAAAACAAAAATGTAATAAAAATCAAGCACACATGTGAAGTGCACTATTAATATCATTCCCTATAAATTTACAATAGCCAAGCAAGCTTGCCTAAGAGTTATAAATGGAGAACACTAGTATACTTAAAACACATAAGGAAAATCTACTGTTCTCGGGCCATACATTATGCACTGCAGTTATTAATCCTCACTTCATTTTCCTGGGCCTTCCTAATTGAAAATTAATTAGCCCAACTAATTCTGCTTGTATACCAAATTCAATAAGAATATTGTAGAGTACTTTACTCCAGAGTCAAAGGCTTTCTCAAATGCCTCTAATTTTTTAGACCATTATTTACTTTGCGCTCAGCATTAAAGAACCAAGTTGCAGCTGTAAAGACATATATGCATTACAGCCAGTGTCACCCTGGCATGAAGCAACACTTTACTGGTATGTCACTTTTCAGGAAATGTCTCTAACAACTGTTTTATAATAAAACAGCTTAGATCCACTGCCTCCAATTATGTTTGTTTCTATATGCCAACCCTGAAACATTGGTCTACATAATTATGTAATATGAATTAATTTAGTTGCTTCTGGAATTATGTGTGCGTAGCTGGACACAATATATGTTTCTACTTATAAAATACAGAGTATTAAGGTAAAAGTGTTCCCTGACTTTGGGCTTAAATAAAATTAATTAAATGCAACTGAAATCAATAATCATGTTTATGGGTTTTGTATGATTCTCAGTATAAGCACTAATTATTTTCCTAAATAGAATCAAGGAACTGATATTTATGACGAAAAAGTGTTGTTTTCTTTTAGGTATGCCCTTGCTAATCCATTAGTAACCTCACTTGTTACATCATCTTACCAAATCATGTTATGAAGTGAAATTCTTCTTATTCAGAAAGTACCTGGTTCAAAGAATGACCACAGTCCAGATATCCTGAAGTTTTTCATTGTTCTCCAAGCATGGCAGTATTATTATTTTGAAGAAAAAATGTATGAGTAATAAAACTTTATTAAAATTACATCATCAAATATCAGACTAAGAGTGGAATATCATTTGGAACAACAAATAACATTAAACTGATGTAGTACTGAACAAATCTTATTAATAATTGATTGGAGAATGTTATAACTAACACAAAGGCTCCAAAATTATACGGTTATCTGAATTCGTTTTACATCTTTGCCTTCTATTCTTATGTTACATTCTGTTATGTTATGCTGCTTAAATAAAAATTAACATAACAGACAACTGCATTGTTTGTAAAGATTTACATACAAACTTATGTTTTACAATGATTGTCACTAAAACTTCAATAGTTCACACAGCATCACGTAGGAAATTATAATATATTATAATATTATTCCAGTGGCCAGCAAATTCTTGCTTTCATTAACATCATTTGTAGATAATACAGACAAGATACAGATACAACCTTTGAGTGTCAAACACTAACCTCAGTAAATATCAAAAATGAGTTTACTGTACTGGAATTAATACATTCAATACTCTTCCACCCACTATAAAAAGTATGAATCACAATAAAAAGAAGTTTAAGCCAGAACTAAAGAGTATCTCCTATCTCACCCCTTCTACTCCACAGAATTTACTTTAACCACTTCTGAGATATTATAAATATATGTAAGTAATAGTGGAGATATTTTCTTGTGTAATTATTTTGTGATAATACTGTAGTTAACTGCAAATCACTGTTATGACTATGTACTTTATACTGCTATTACAAACTAGTATTATATTTGTATTATGACATGCTCTACATCCTTGTCTTAGGCCTATGGAAAAACTACGGAATGTAAATCTATTCTCTTCTATGCTATTCAGCTGCAGTATTGATAATGTTGATGGCAGACAATTAGACACACAGTGCCAAGTCTCCAATTACATACATTCAAGATAACTTCATCAGTCTCCTGGTTCAAAAATTACAGCTGAGTAGCATACATATACATAATTCCTTATTTCTGGTCATAGCTTAATACATTAGAACATTCAATATGAACATTTAAACTCAGAAGGTTTTAACTTTTAAAGAGTTACAACTGTTTTGGTTTAACTACCACTCAACAACATACAGTACAGTCCCATCATTACCCACATTTTACAAAGTATAATATTACATCCAGCAACATTCATTTTTCATGACATATTCAACAGTTACAATGTTCTGCAATGTCTTTATTTAGCTCTGGTAATAAGATTGGTATTACTGATCAAACTTTGACTACTTCTTTAAATTTGTCTCTACCTCACTGAAATAACTACAAAACATACTTCAAAAGTTTTCTGTGCTTATTGGTATTATTTCCCTGTCATGAAGATTAAGTGAATTACATTTTCACTTTGGTACATTGTTATGCTTTTATCTTCCTGAGCACAGCAGATCACAGTCAGAAAACATGTTAATGAAAACAATTAAATCAATGTAACTTTACAAAACATGCTAGCATATTTGTGACCAAGATGGAATGAGATAAAATACACATTTGGACATTCTCTGGCTAGTTGAAAATTCCATATCCATACATCTTTCACAATCCATTAAACCTTTCTTACCTTCAAAAGATTAAGTAGGAAGGGGCTTGCAGCACATAACACAATCTTATGAGCAGGAAAACTACGCCCACCTGCTGCCAAGGTGACATCCACCAAATCACCATGACAACGTAGTAACTGAACTGCAGAAACCAAGGAAGTCCCAAATTCTCCCCAAGTCAAACTGTACAGCTGACTACTGCCCATTGTTAGCTTGGGATCTTCAACTTAAAGTTGGTTACTCTACAAAAGAAAGTTACATGGCTCTTCATCCCTAATCTTATTTGCCGAAGACACTGGCCTGTATTTTAAAAGATTACAGTGAATGTGCTGAAATGCAGATCCCTAGCATGTACTCAATTTACAACGTAAGTCACACTACGTAATCTAATATGCGACAAACTGACACAACCACTTCAATGCCATGCACCTAATTCCTGCACAAACTTACCTGCGTCCAAACCGACAATTCGCAAACCTAATCAACAGCAACCATGTAATACAATGTGTCAAGATCACTTTTATTTGGTTTTATTGCTTTCTGCTCATTGAACAATCAGTCCGAACAAACCAACATCAACTAACTCAGTTTCAGCTTACTTTCACTGCCGTGCCGATTTACTGTAAATGAAGGCTAAATTCACAGATCTGAAAGGTATATAATACTTTATTTAGAGACATGAACACAGTATAGTTCAAACGACGTTACAGACGAATAAATCGATCGAATTCTAGCAATGAAAATATCACAATAATAATTACGACAATCTTCTGGAAGATTTCTTGCGATCTGATCCGCTACGTTTCGCTCAGATTAGCTACTTGAACAAGAGGAAACACGTCTGCGGTAAATGCTGCCAATACAACGATAACTGTTACCTACACAAGATTATATTATTACAACAAACCATACTTAAAAAATGTTTCAAATCTCGTTTTCGACTAGGACAGCTTTTAAAGTACACACACACACACGCACACACCATGTTCACATTCATGTATGCGCCATTCAATCATTTGAGCAACAGAAATTAGTCATGACAGCAGCAGACCTGTACTCATCCAACTATACGACGAGTTCATACAAAACGAAAAAACCTGTATAGGCAACTAATCTCGAAATTCATAGAAAATTACAGAGTAATCTGGAAGGTCATCATGAAATAAGGCATCCTGTTGTGGAATATGGTACATAAAATAGGGTTTTCCTCTACACAACAAATGATACTGTTTTCTAATTATGTATTAAATATGGCCATATTAATATATAAATCAATTTGCTGTGTAGATGTAAATAGTATTTTAATGTATTGATAAACCACGTTCCTCAAATGTTGCAAACCCAATCAAAATTCTGTTACAAACCAAATCGACAAAGATCTTTGAAACGACCGTACAAATGCCAGCATAACATGAGAACACCGCCTACGACGTAGAAGGGCGATTATGACAACGGTCATTTTGACTTTCATGGTAAATATTAGACGTGTTAGAGCACTTGCAGACAGCAAGAACGTGATGAGAAAATTTGCTTGCCTTGAGCAAACTGTGACTTATCAGCTCAATATCAAGGTCGGACTCGATTCAGTACTCATATCCTGTTAGTTCACAACGTACACCAAACTCGCTTCCAGCTCTCCATGTATTTTTTAATTCCCTAAAACATAACAATGTGAAGGGCATGCCAGGGACAGCATGAAGTGTATTTTAATTAGTTGCACAAGAAATCAATTATATGAGCACCTTCACTTGCCTTCGTATTAGTCTTTCAAGGTCAATAAGTTACATTAATTTACTGTTGAAGATTTATAAAACTGCAGAAATTCTGTCACTGATAATTTGGCTATTGCTTGCAGCTGTCCTCTGTCACTATTGGTGCTGTTATTGTGCGTGTCTTGTGTTTGAGCTTCGACCATTTTGGTGTCCGATCGTAATTCATTCACTTGCCGTAGCTGTTCCAGCGCTTCATCATACGTTGGCAGTCCTGAGACTATTGTGTAACTTGGTAATGACTCGACGTCATCACCCGAAGTTCCACCAGCTGCCACTGAGTGCGCGCGAGATTCCAAAACTGTAACAAAAGGAAAATGTGTTATTACTCCCAGTAACAAATTAATAGAAGTAATTGATTTCGTCAAAAATTACTGTACTTGTGAGACAAAATATTAGAGCCAAACAGTTACGTATTTTCAAGTCATAATGGGCAGTTCTTCGGGGAAGGAGGTTGGTATAAGGCTGACAATTAAAAACTGCGATACAAACAGATCAGCGAGAAGCCCTGGTGCTATTTCGAGTGTTGGGGCGTCATCCTGGCATCGTTTTTAAATGTAATGGTGTCAAAAATAAGCGACTGTGCGTATGGTAAGATGATGTGATTTCCTCCCTCCTACCAAGAATAAGATACGCTCTTCTAGAAACTTATAAAATGTAAGAAGTATAAAAGCCTGACAACATACGAAACTATTTGCCCATATTCCCCTTTCTTGTTTAGTTCTGCATTTAAAACCATAGCTAACTTTAATGGCCTCCTACCGTACTAATTTCTTTCTACCCGAACTGCATGCCAGACTGCATCAGCACGTTTATTTTTAGGACTACACCCCTAGATGTACCAAGTAAAAGCTGTCACAATCCCTGAAAGAGCTAACTTTGCACAGCAGCATCTTTCTGACAACCTTGATGAAGGGAATACGTAGCCTATATCGATACTGAAATGGAAATTAAATAAAAAATAGTCAAATTGAGAAGGGGCATCACAGCGTTCTTTGCACCAGGTGCATAAAATGAAAGAATATTGGAATGATCGTGTTCGTCAGTCCGTCTTTCCCCTGATTCAATTAGAGAACATTACATTTGATATGAACATTATGCTATTACAGGCCATACCAACTTCTTACTCTTTAATTTAAAAAAGGGTTATAAAAATATGGTGGAAGCGCGAATTTGTGAGGTGGGTGTGACACTAACGCCACTTAGTATATTATTCTGAAATGGTGTATGGTAATGACGATGTTCTTGTGGAGTGTGACGCCATGTGACCTCGCAGGTAGATATTAACATTTCGGAGACCTAAAGATGGGAACAGCATGTTACTTCGAAACGTTGCTATCTATCTACGAATCCAAACGACGTCACAATCCAGAATAACAACACCGTCATCTTCGCGACCCCGAAAAACCCAACTCTCACACATATGGTAACGGATCTCTTCAAAAGGTAATTTTCTGGAAGAATGTAAAACAACAGCATGGCATCACTGAGGAAATTTCCTTTGGCTTTCGATTGCACAACGATAACTAATGAACCAACCACAGGAGTTGGGCACACAAACATACTTACGAACTTCGAATTCAATATTATTAGTAGTTAATGTTTAAAAACACGGAAATGACGTAAAACGTTGAGGTCACATCCGACAAATTTAACGTAGACAGTTTTATAGTCAGTTGGGGTAGCTCAGTAAGTATATACCTGCGAGTCTACACGGCGCCAAAAAAACAGAAAAACATCAATGTTTTATTTGTAAACAATCGTGTGTGTCCTGTCCTTGATTTCATCTTTTTTCTCCTTTAAGCGATTGCAGTCTCTTGTTTTCGCCGCGTCTGTTGAAAACAGAATCAACACACAGACCAAGCACGTGGAAACACTGGCCATCAAATTCACATTATTATTGTGGTCTTTTGGGTTGTAATGTGTTTTCTTTTGGACGAGAACCAACATTTCAAAAGGAATGTATAACCTCTGTTTTTAGTATTGACGATTTCAATATTTTTTCGAAATGCTGTTTACCACTCACAAGATCACATGGCGTCACAACCCAGAAGACCTGAATCGGCATCTTCGCCACTCTGAGAATCTTAAATCTCAATTCCGAGGTCTGTTTTGTGTCTTGTAAATTCGTATGTTTTTAACACTTTAAAAGTTAGCAGTAATTATATGTACACCCTACTACCTGCTTTAACATTCAGGCTCAGGATGTGTTTATGGGTTTCTCACGATATCAGAATAAAAACTTATTTTCTTAAACAACGTTAACTATTTTATCTCTCAGATGAAGACGAGTTGTGTTTTCAGAATTTTTATATACAGCATTATTTAAACGATCTCCTTCTCCAAAGGGTTCGTTGACATTGACATTGGTCCGTTGGTTTCAGTTTGCAATGTTGGCTATGGCTCTCTGGTCTTATGTCCACATCTAAATATATTTACATTTCTTTTAAAATGTTTGCTTCAAAAAGTTCCTATTAAATAATTCTGACTTCATACATTTTGAAAACAATTTTGTTTGCATTGTCCGTCTTCCATAACTATTAATACAAAGACATGCGTGCCACACATGAAAACAATTCCCTCTACCGTTTTTCTAGTTCGAACTACGAGTAAATAAACGTGCACTGCCACAGTGTTTGGACAGATTAGCTGGCAATGATTCACACTGCACGTGGGCTATGACTGTCGCCTTAGAACGAAAGGAATTTCAAGGTTTTGTAAAAAGTTTCATATAATAAGAAACACATTTCTGCAATTGATGTTTTAATACAAATACTTCAATTTTTAAGGCAGAACAGCAATAATCAAACACAGGCTGGGCGACCACATTTACTTCCCCAGACACACGTTCAGGGCGGCTCGGGAACCCGATCAACCTCACAAAGGGATCGAGAAGTTTTACGCCTCATTAAAAACCTGTGTAAGATATAAACACTTTTCTATAATAAGATTTATCTTATAACTTCTATTAAACAAAGCCATGGAAACTGTACGCAATGCGGCATATTTAACCAAAAGAAATACGTACTATTGCATTAACCCAGGAGTAATGACATATACTGGTCGAATGAAAGATACCTCGAAATTCGTGCATTAATCCGAACAAATCAACACTATTAAGCCTATTTTTTCGCATAGTGTTATGGGTGTTAACGACCTCTGCAAGTCATCAACATTTCCGACCTCAAGTCTCGCACACAAGGCGGTTGCACACTCATTCCTAAACAAAGGGCATTCATTCTACTTGTCGGAACAGTGATTCCAGTTGCTCAAACGTCACAAGATCAACACATTATATATATATATATATATACATATATATGCATATTTGCATATAGTCTATGTATTCCACGTCATTACGTACGTCTGACATTTCATGGTAATAATCTGTACTTTGTTAACACGTAGGAAATACGTTTTCCGTCTCCAAAAATAATTAGTTGATTCGAGGTTTTCATGACAGTGAGGATGATTATCTTCTGGGTTTTGGCACCGTGTAGATTCATCGGTAGATGCCAGCGTTTCGGAGAAACATACTGTCTCCATCTTCAAACCTGAAGACGGGTCTAGACGCCGCCAAAACACAAATCATCATCATCATCATTACTATTAATATCATCATTGTTACAACTTCTATTCGTATTAAATTGTACTGCACCAACATCAGAGCAGTTAATAATTCATTAAAAATTCAATTTCACTTACGATAGCCTGTGTCACAAAACCCAGAGCCCAAATACCACCATCCTCTTGCATAAAGTGATTTGCTTTGACTTTAGTTGTACAATTGGTGCAACTTCCGATCTTTTAAAACCAACAAGCTATTGAAATTCTCTATTTTGTTTAAAACACTGCACACGTTTTAATGACGTAACGAAACCTCAATAGGAATTGAATTTAACATACTAATAGTTCCCTCGTAAAGGTCCAATTTATAAATGTCAACAGCCAGTGCCTTGAAGTGGCCCTGAGTTCCCTACGCCCGCGAAAAAGCAATTAATCACTAACCAACCTGGTTACAGAGTAGAATCGTTTTGGGTCATAACTGAAGTAGGCTAAAATATCGTCACTGCATATATATACATATATATATATATATATATATATCATGCAGCGTACCCCTTGTCTTCTCTTCACCCCTCTAGAGCAACAATTTTCTAGGCAACGAGTTATTATAATTTGAAAAAATTTTGCTGGCACACTGTAGTACTCGAACCATTTGTTTATCAATTATTTTCAAGGGATTCTATTACACAAAAATGGCGGCCTGTAGTATCGAGCAGCGGATAACTTGGTAGATACATTTTGGTACAACTTAAATGTACTCAATTACGGTGTAACGGAAAATAATGTTACGAAGTTGGGAAATGTGGCAATGCATAACAATTTCAGAGCTTTCACTCCGTCTCCAAATTTTCAAATGTTTTCTTACAAATAGTGGAGGAGCAAGGACATACAACATATGCACGTCTATCAAAATCAATTCATCGGTTATGTTAAGAGGTGACACAACAGAAAAAAATTCTTTTGTTTAATTACCCTGAAAACCATAGGCTGTGACTTTGGAAAAAATGTATTGGGCATAAAACGTATTTCATTTCTCTGTGCAACTTCTGCACAGAATACTTGTCGCTCCGATAAATATTTAGCAAGATGTGACACAGAGATTCGTATAATCGCATGTAGGTCTACATGTAAAGTGTCCGTGGTTGTGGTCCGATTTTTACCAAACTTCGAATATAATAAAAAAATTTAACCAAACTCCCTAATACAAAATTTCATGAATATCTGTTCTGTAGTTCTCCAGTTACTACACGCGGACAGACAGACAGACATGACGATGATAATGAACGCATTTCTGCAATTTCCTGACTAACGCACCTCAACAGTGATCACAACTAGTTAAGTGCAGCTTGAAATTCTCTTAATTAAAGGGGATTACGTTAAAACCAAGTTATGTACGATTAAATTAAGTTA